ACAAGAGCAATAACTACAATGTTCATGATGGCAACAGTTTACAAGTCGATAAAGCACCTATGCCCATGAGCCCTGGAGCTAGAGAAGTTCAGGTCGGCGGTCTGCCTGATAGGATGAAGATGGAAGTGATCGAGCCTTTGAGGCACCCTCCGGGGGGGGAGAGAGACCACGAGACGTGTGCGTACGTGTCTATAGTCTATATATTATGGAACATAGATATGTATGTGTGTATGTATATGTATATTAAATACATATGTATATATATATATATATGCATATGTATTCCTACATACATACTTACCTACCTACCTGCCTACCTACCTACCTACCTACCTACCTACCTACCCACCCACCTACCTACCTACCTACCTACCTACCTACCTACCTACCTACCTACCTACATATACATACATATACATACATATACATACATATACATACATATACATACATACATATATACACACACATGCATGCGTGCATGCATGCATGCGAGACAGGGAAGGCAGCCAGGGAGCCAGGCAGGCCGGCTGGCAGACAGACAGACAAGACAGCCATGCATGCATGCATGCCTACCCACATGCATACATAGATACATAAAGACGTACATGCATACAGACATACAGGCATACATACATACATACATACATACATACATACATACATACATACATGCATACACACATACATACACACATACATACATACATGCATACATACATACATACACATTACAAAGCCACTGTTTCTGGGTGCACGGTAGGTTTTGTCAGTGTATAGATATGAGAGAGTTTGGGTTTTCAGTAAATTTCGTTTTGTAAGGTTTAATCAGCGTGTGCATTGTAGACTTGACGGAAGAAGGTTTAGGGTTTGGGGCTCGGGGTTTCCGGTTTTGCTGTTTACGGTTTGGGGTGGTTGTGTTGCCTTTAATCCTGCGCACCCAAGCCCTGGAATCCAGAACCCGAAGCATCCATTCCAGCGTCTAGGCGTCTTCAACTTTCCTAGCATATTCGCAGCATGCAGTCCTAGACCCTGTAAACCTACAACAAATGAGTACAAAGGTATATACCTATATACATGCACACGCACACACACACACATATGTATATATGTATATATGTATATATGTATATATGTATACAGATACACAGAGGCATACATGTATCTAGCTGTATTTGTGCAATGACGCAGTATTTACATTTCTTTGTGTAGCCATTTTTGAAATGCGAAAGTACGTAAGCTTAGTACCCTAAACCCCTAAACCCCTAAACCCCCAGCCCCAAACCCTGAAGCCCTAAAACCCTAAAGCGCTCAACCCCTGAACCCTCAACCCTGAACCCTAAACCCGACAGCCCTAAACCTCCGAACTTAACTAAGCCCTAAACCCTGAACCCTATAAACCCTAAAGCCCTAAACCTCCGAACTTAACTAAGCCCCAAACCCTGAACCCTATAAACCCTAAAGCCCTAAACCCCTGAACTTATTTAAGCCCTAAGCCTTGAACCCTATAAACCCTAAAGCCCTAAACCCCTGAACTTATTGAAGCCCTAAACCCTGAATCCTACAAACCCTAAAGCCCAAAGCCCCTGAACTTATTGAAGCCCTAAACCCTGAACCCTATAATCCCTAAAGCCCTAAACCCCTGAACTTATTTAAGCCCTTAACCCTGAACCCTAAACCTAAACCCTAAACCCCTAAACCCTAAACCCTAAACCCCTAAACCCTATAAGCCCTAAACCCTAAACCCTGAACCCTACTTCCGCCCCAAAAGGCTCCTCTTCAAGGATGAGGTGCGCGCGCTGGGTGCGGAGCTCAGGTTTCTCATCGGGCCTTCTTTTTTTGAGATTTAGGGTTTAGGGGTTTAGGATTTAGGGTTTAGGGGTTTAGGGTTTAGGGTTTAGGGGAGGGATAAAGGTTGTAGGGATTCTGGGATTTAGGAGTTTAGGGTTTAGGCTGTAGGGATTATGGGATTTAGGAGTTTAGAGTTTAGGGTGTAGGGATCATGGGATTTAGGAGTTCAGGGGTGAGGGGTTCGGGTTTTAGGGTTTTGCGGTTAAGCGTTAGGTTTAGGGCCACGTAGTAGTTTCAAGAGCTTCCTGCAGGGGCAACTTGTGCAGTGGTTTCAGGGTGGGATTTAGCGATTCAGGGTTTAGGGGGTTGTTTTCTTCGGTGTTTGGCGTCCAGGTGTTGGTCTTGTAAGGACCCATACTGCAGGCCAAGCCTACAGCAGACCTTTACAAAAAGTAAGCATGATGGTTTTATGCACTACTGTACTGAATTGCACTATCCTAGACTATATACCATGCTATCAAACTTGCTTTTGGACAATGCTTTCCCTTGTTCATCCTGTCATTCTCCGGTGGGTTAAAAGTGGTGATTCTATTTCTCATGCTTGGAGGATAAGGGGACTGCGTGACTTAGTACGTCGGTTTAGGGTGTGGAGGTACGCGAAATTTTGGGGGGTTATATTGAATTAGAAGCAGAATTGCAGTTTAGTTAACTTATGTATAACCTTCGTTACCAAGCCCCTCCCTCCAATTGAGGGGCCCGGACAGTGCCCCGATGACGAATGCAGAGGGGCCGAAGAGCACCCCATGTTGACACTCGCTCATCCCTGAGACCAAAATTCCTAAACCCTGAGACCAAAACCCTAAACCCCTAATCCCTAAACCCTAATCCTTAAACCCTAAACCCTAAACCCCTGAACCCCTAAACTAAACCCGCAGACCGAAACCTGAAGCCTCAAAGCCCAAACCCTAAACCACAGGTTGTAGCCGAAGCCCCTGAGCCTCCAACCCTACACCAGAGGTGCTATGCCAAAGTATCCAAAACCATAAATCGAAACCTTAAGCCAGAAACAGGAAGCTACGGGTTCTAAACTCTAAACGCTCGCAACGAGGCAACGAGCTTGGCTTGCCGGTCACTTCCGCAACTCGCCGAGACTGCAGGGTTATGTGCTGATGAACAGAGAGGGGGTTTCGGGTCTAGGTTTGCATGGCTGTGGTTTTCGGATGTCGGATTTCCTAACCTACTGAGGCCTATCTTCAACATACCGGACCGTGCCACATATGAAGACGAGTTCCCCAGTAGCACCCTTTTGCACTTTTTCTTTTTGGGCTTCCCAACTAAACCCCAATAGTAGGAAAAAGGGCACCCTTGTCATCAGGGGGCTACTCGGGAACCTCGAAGATCATGGCCGCCTAAGGTTACGATTGCTTTCTCTAATCCCGGGGGGAATCTCGCTTCAGGAGTTCGTATTTAGGGTTTATTATAGAGCACCTGAAAAGGGGGTACCCCTTTTTTTCGGAAACTCATATCAAGTGTCGAGGGTGCAGGATTGTGGGGCTTAGGTGGCGGCCCGGTTTGGGGGTTCGAAAGGCAGCCCTTGTGGGTGGGATGGATCAGGGCTTCAGGCTTTTCGCGCCCTCCTTCCAGGAGCTTTCGATACTAAGGTTTGGGGTTTAGGGCTTAGGGACCAAATAGAATATACCTTGGCCCCGAAGTACCTATCTCTATCTCTATATATATATATATATGTATATATATATATATATATACGTACTATACTATGAGGCCAAGGTACATACTGTTTGGGCACATGTTCCACTATAAGGAAAGATCAACAGTCCAGCGAACATAGCGGACCCTGATATGGACCCTAGACACCTGTTATGTGTAAGGGCCTCTTTGCATTGCTTCGGTTTCTAACGCTTCATGCCTTGATGCCTAGACCCTAAACCCTAATCATTGCTTGCGCTGAAAACGAACGTGCGGTAAGTCGGATTGTTGGTCTGCGTATGTATGCCGTATGCAGTACATATTTGTAATTATACACTTGTACATACATGGCTTCTTAGCAATGTTGGTGAATGTATCTTTGGGAAACTTTGGGGCATGAATATGGGGCCTGGGGACGCTAGTGATCTCACCCTTCTTCATGCTATTGAGATCGGTGCGTTATGACCCCGTGGCTCTTGTACGAGCCACAACGATCGGTTGCGTGTCGAAATCTGCAGCAAGGGTGGAGAGGTTACCAGTCACATGCGTCCATGGGCTACAGCGTAGACTCTTTGTTTCCATCTCGAATCGTCTATTTAGGGACCAGGTACAACCACACAACCGAACACAACCTTCTACCCGCAAGCTTTGGAGTATTCCTAAACTCTAAACCCTAAAAGACCGAAGGTTATGCGACATCCTTTCCCGGGCCCCGGGCTGGGCATCCGAATTATCGGTGAGGTGCGAGCGGCCCTAACTTGAGGGCTCAGGGCCCCTAGATGGTCCCCAACAGGGCTTTTGAAGAACTCGAGTTTGTATACACCCCATAACGAAATTCATGTGTGCTGACGTTCAGCACTGTCTGGAGTATCGGATTAACTCCTCGATTCGCATAGGAACAAAAAATATATCCTCAACCCTGGCTCTGTGGGAGTGGAGAAAGCAGCCTCTGCAAGCAGAGTTGTGACTTGCATGCGAAATCTTGATCTAAGGCCCTACCCACAATTCAGACCTGAGTCCTGTCCCAGCGAACTTCTTGAGGGTTTTTTGGTTTAGGGTTTAGGGCAAGGTAGTCGGGAACATGGTTTAGGGTTGAGGGTTTGACCTACTGTCAAGCAAAGAAATCCACCAGTCACCAGGGAATGCTTACTTTCAAGGCGTATCTTTCCGTCGCTGCAGCTGCGTTGGCATCGCCAGAGAAGGCGATCAACGAACCACCTGAAACAGCGTCACCAGAGTCTCAAGATCGTGCAGAACGTTTGATCCGACTTTCCGAGCAGGCACCTAAGTTTGGGCCTCTAATATAGGGGTCGGTTTGTTGGTAATACATAGTATCCCCCGTATAGATCCCTATATACTGGCCTATTTTTTAAGTACAGTGTTACCAAAGGGGGCTCTCCACCAGCTCAAGTCAGGCTCGAGAGCTTGTGACACCCCCCAGCCCTAAACCCTAAAGTGTAAAAAAAAAAAAAGCTTAAAAAGCTGCAGCCGACAGAGACGCCATGGGCAGCCGACGGCAGCCTCGTGTTTGGACGCTGCTACTGCTGGCGCTGGCAGTGCCCTACAAGGAATTCAGGGTTGAGGGTAGGGTTTAGGGTTCAGGGACAAGCAAGAATTGGTTGACTATCACCTGGCCCGAACTCCTCGCATGTTTGCCTTGCAGTTGTCGTGCATGAAAACTGCAACAAGCAGGCTCTCAACGAGGCTCCCAATGTTCCATTCACTTTAGGTCCAAGAGAGCAGCGTTCACGTAGCAGGATGGGTTTGGCGAAGCCTCACACGAGAGAACCCCAACTTCGCAATCAACGAAACCGACAGGTAAAACCCTAAACTCTAAGATTTAAGCCCTATAAACCCTAAACCTTGAACCCTAAACCTAAGACCTCAACCCTAAACCCGAGCTTTCCAAACTACCCTCTACACTTCGCATGAGGTACACTCGGTCATTCCTGGCTTCGTGTCTGGTAGGACGACCTCCCCACAGTGATCCGAGCTGCATCGTCCTAGTATAGACCTTGGTGGTTTCGGGTTCAGAGTTTAGAGTTTAGGGTTTAGGGCGTAGGGCTTAGATTACTTAGGCTTCAGGTAGGCTTTGCATCGACACATCCCAAAACCCCACAGCCCAGACTCATGGCGACTTCTCTCTGCAGAGTGTACCCTGATTTTCCTAATCTCGGCAACCCTACTAACTAATCCTACGGGTTCACGTGCTGTTTTGGGGAGATACTTTGACCTCAAAGGGGTTCCCGTATGGTCTTCCGTCCGAAGTATCGACTATGTACACCTAAACCCCTATGAACCCATAAGGTCGCCCTTAAAGAAACTCTCAAAGGAACCTGGGACAGGAACTTTCAGGGAGTGCTGAATGAAGGGGTCTATAATGTTTAGGGCTTAGGGTTCAGGGGTTTATGCGTGGTTTAAGGGTGTAGGGCTTCTGGGACCTTCACAGGCACTTGGACCCCGAAGGTGGATGGTCTCAAAGCTCCCACCAAAGTTTAGGGTTTAGGGGCAGACACTTATCAACAACTTGTTGTCACAATCCTTTCCGTGAGAAAGCGTCAACAAAAACAGACCCAACTCCTGAACATGCTTTGGCCAACCCGTCTGCCCCCCAACAAAGTATGCAGCCCTATCACAAGCCTTTGCACAAGCCGCTATGAACAAATAAACCCCGAAATCCGTTGTTGGCAAGGTAGGGTTTAGGGTGTAAGGTTTAGGGTTTAGGACTTACGGGGACCAAAAGCCGAAAGCATGAGTTCTTGGACCCTAAACCCGGAACCCCAAACCCCAAACCCCGAGCCTGGACCCGATCTGCATCTTTTGCAGTCAAAAAATCCTAAACCGAAACCCTAAACCCTAAACCTCTAACCCTAAACCCTAAACTCTGAACCCTAAACCCTAAACCCCAAACCCTGAACCCTACCTAAACCCTAAGCCCCTAAACCCCTGAGCCGCCAGCAAAAGATCCGCCCGCTTTGAGGCGCCGCGGCCTCCAGGCGCGAGCAGAAGAGGCCAAGGTGCCCAAGGAATCCTTGGCCATCGTCAAAGCCGAGGAGGCACTTGTTGGTTCTTTTAGGGGTTTAGGGTGTAGGGGTTTAGGGTTTAGGATTTACGGTTTAGGGTTTCATGTAGGAACCTGATTAAGAAACCCTGCCCCTTTGTTAGGGTTCTTCATATCAACCCTTATATATTGGGGTTAGAGGGGCCAGGTTTGCTAAATCAGGTTCCTACACTAGGGACTTACTGAGGCACTTGTTTGATTGTTTAGGGTTTAGGCAGTTACCAAGGAGTTCAGGAGGTTTAGGGCTCAGGGTTGGGAGTTTAGGGTTTAGGGGTTTAGGGATTGTGATGGTAGGTGTGTAGCATTGGGGATTTTCGGGGTTTAGGGGTTCAGTGGTTCAGCTCCTCGCAATGGTATTGGAAGATATGGGCTCCTTACAATCTTACCATGGGTCTAGGGATTTCGGGTTAGGGGGGACCATTCCAAGGTACACTTCCTAGTTTGGGGCAATAGGTAGTTGAGGGGTCTAGGCACAAGGGTTTAAGTTTGCAGGGGTGCTATAAGGGCTTTAGGAGCATGCTCGAAAAGGAACCCCTTCAACAATGGCGTAAAGACTAGGAACCAGAGCATACCCGAACACAGAAGCTCTTGACATGAACGTCTTGCAAGAACCCTTAAGCAGACGAGGTCTTAGCAGGCTAATCTAGCATTCATTTGATGGGTTTGTGCTGTGTAGCCGAATTACGTCAAATTTCTGCTCCGGGCCCCGAAACCCTGCTTGAAGGATCATGCGGCATTGTAAGTAAGGTTCCAGATATGTCAGTTGGGGTCGTTCAAAAAGTATCTCATCCCCCTCTTAATGCTAGCATACAACAACGTCTACTATCTAAATCTAAGGGTCAAACCTACAGAACCCCCATCTGCGGGTCACACCGCACCATAAACCCTGTATAAATCTTGTGTAAATAGCAGCCCTAAAAGCCCTAAGCCCGAAATCCGAAATTTATGGGTAGTGTAGGGGCCTAAATCATTACCAATACTATTTTGAGGGTTCCTTATTCTAATTATAATACAATGGGCCCCCAAAGCCAAGTCCTAATTATTAAGGCCCCCCTAAACCCTAAACTCTAAACCCTAAGCCCTACACCCTAAACCCTAAACCCTGAACCCTAAACCCTAAACTCTAAACCCCAAACAGCAGGTCGGGAACCTAGCGGCCGATGACGAGTGGCTGGGCCTGGGGATAGAGCTTGGCATCGTGCTGCGCAGCGCGGTGCCCGGGTGGATTTGGTGAAAGGCTTCTTTTCAAGGATTCGGTTTAGGGTTTAGGGTTTAGGGTCTCGGTAAGGGTTCTATAGGGTTTAGGGCTTAGGGCTTTTATAGGTTTGGGCGTAATGTGGGGGCCTTAAATAATTACCTATACAATTCTGCGGGTTCCTTATGATAATTATAGTGTACTGGACCCCAAAACCCTATTCTAANNCTAATTATTCAGGCCCCTATATTCGTGTTTGGGGTTTGATGTTTAGGGGTTTGGGATTTCGGGCGTAGATTTGAGGCTTAAGTGGGGTCGGCTCAGACCGACACCAACGTGCAGGGATCTGAATAGTTTTATAAGAACATGCTCTGCTGAGGTTTTCTTTCTAAGGGTCGTTCTGCTAAAGGTGTTATGATAATCGCGACATACCCCGAAGGCGTAGCCACAGGCAAGTTCTCAAGCCCTGCATAGTGGGCAACATGACATGTCCTATGCCCCTAAACCCTAAACGCAAACCCCACCCCACCCCACCTCCACCGCCCCACCCCCACCCCACCCCACCCCA